CAAGAAGGAGAAGCACAGTAGAAAGGAAGATGCTGGTCCCTCCTACAGACTGGGTGGGGGTCTGGTTGGTGAGTGCCAGTTGGAGATGTCTCCAGTTGGCCCCACCACCATTCTGTCAACTCATTTTTGACTCACCCAAACCCCATCTAAGACGGAAAAACTGTGCAAAAAGGAAACATCTGAAGGTCAAGTTCGCTAATTTTGATTAATAGTGGACATCTTCTGCCTGGTTGATGTGGTTACCTTCATAAACCATCCTCTGTGCCCCAAGGAGAAAACGATGCAGGGATGACTCACGCAGAATAAACCAAATTTATCCAGCCCACAGGAAGACACGAGAGCAATTGTGAACTAGTTCTCTCTTTGTGAAAGTAAACTTTCCACTTGTCTCTGTAGAGGGTGTTGACAGAGGAAAATTTGAAATCCATGGCTTTGGGAGTGATTGCAACATCTCAGGCTCCAGTGTTCACCCTGCACCCATTCAGTACACTGTCTATATACTTTAACACTACGAACCAGGCTGAGGGCTGCAAAATCATACTTTGAGGTTGGTGTTGGTGGTGTCACCAATTAGGAATGCTCTTTATGGTATGAGAACAACTCCTGATCATTTTGATGACTGCTTTTCTTTGAATAATTTGCACTTGTTGTAAATCGGATATTGAATCCCCAATGGTTTGGGGTGTATTAGCTAATAGAATTGTGCCTTCTCACTTATTTCCCTGGTCATGAAGGTGTTAGTTAACATTATATATTGTTTCAGTCCCTTACTGAATTCCAAAAGTGCAAGAAACCCTTTGACACAGATAAAAGATTATTTTTCTTTTAAACCTTGCTCTGCTTATTCAAGGCTGTGAATTATACTGATTCAAGCCATTACCTCCACCAGCTTCTCTACCTGTTTGTTACACCACACAGTTCCATATTTTCATAGAACAAAACCGGAGTTCCTCCACTCTGTGGGCTTCTGATCGATTCTGTGAATCACTGGCTGAAATTCTTTTTTGGTAGAAGTTCACATGTAAGGTCTGATCAAACCCTGCTATAACCAAGGATCAAACATCATATTGCCCACGGGGTTCTTCAAGGGGTGGTGGATCCTTTCTCTGGAGGTGTTTGTCACTTAATGTCTGGTGTTCCTCAAGCCAAAACAGGAACTGTTGGACACAGCTCCACAGAAGTCAGGATGCTGTGGCTTCACAGGAAGGCATGGAGTCTGTGAGCAGCTGAAACTTACCTGCAAAACTGGGGCAACTTGCACACATATGCATGGCAGGAAAAAAAAAAAAAAAAAGAATAAGGAAAAAGAAAAAGGAGTGAAGAATTATGGTAGATTTTTAGGAAAAATAGGCTGATTATTTTTCCATCTTGGCCTGGATCTGTTCAGAATGTGTGATTTTACTGGCCTTTGCCAAGGGCTCATTTTTTGGGGGTTATTTTTGTTTGTATAAAGGAATATGTTTTACAGTCAATATTATAGCAGAGGAGAAAATCTTTTGGAAGAGACAAATGCTTTCAGTTGCTGGGGTTTATATCCTTTTTCTAGCTTTCTATTTCTCAGCAACTTCTATGCTCTCTCACTACAGGAAGCCAAAACAGCTCTCAAGTCAACAACTGCCTTTCTTTTTCTCCTCCCCAAGGTGCTTTCAACTTTTCTCAATGTCTTCAGCATCTCATTGCCATCAGAGGTGAAAAAGGCCTTTAACTGCTTCCTCTGCTGCAGAGGCATGATTGAAGGACTCTTCATTCGAAGTGGCATTGCCAATCACACCTCTTGGGGAGATGATTGACATCGGTATTGTCATCTCCCAGCTGGCCCCAGATGGACAAGCACCTGAATTCACCTGTGATTGAGGAACATTCATTACTGCTTGACAGCCTAAGCCCATTAGCGGAGGAAGGGTCATTAAAGAAGCGAACTGCTGGCTTGTTCTTGCCATGACCATGTTTTATATGGTCCAACTAAAACAAATGTCCGAATAAACATTCCAAGCATAATAAAGAGGTTTCCATATCCGTTGCACTTTCATTGCACAACACCCTTCAATAGAAGTGTTCAGCTAATGGAAACCCAAAATCGCTCAGCACAGAAAAAAAAAAAAGGGGGGGGGGGAAGAAAAAAAGGGAAAAAATTGCCCCCTTTTTCAACATCCTCTTTGCTTTTGGGTGAGAAAGGAAAGAGGGATGTTGAGAAGAATGCAAAGAGCAAACATCTTAAAATGCCAGCAAGAGCCTTTTGGAAGCTGATTAGAACCATTTGTGTGTGGTCAACAAAAAAAATTGGAGCTTGCAGAAAATGGAAGGGAGACAACCTCTGCTCTGTTCTGAGCCACAGAACAGATGCCAGCATTTCTTCTGACTTTACAACTTTTTCTTGGCCTATCTGGGTGAAAGACTGATTAAAAATGGGGGCTGAGAATGCCTGTTGAAAAACCTCCCAGATTGTAACCCTAGCACAAGGGCAAAGGCAGACTCACAGTAAATCATGTCTCACTGTCTGGACCACTTATCGAATACAGAGAGCAAAGACACCCAGCCACAGCCATAGGAAATCGCACGTCCGATGGTCTTCTCCTTTGCTTTTATTCTATGGGAAGCAGAGGGCAGAAAACAGACTACCCAACATTAAAGCCAAAGGCCGAAATAAAGAGAGAGAGAAAGAAAGAACAAGATTTTCTTGTAAGGAAGCCATAGGCATGGATGGAAAGAGATTTATCTCCTCCAAAACCATTTTTTCCTTCAGTGGTGTCCTAGGTAAAACAAAATAAACCAAGAGGATTGAATTTCACTGGGAGAATGACTGTGAGGTCTGCTGCGCAAGCCAGATTTTCCAACCATACATTTAAAAGCGGTTACTCAAGTTTGGGTAAAAAAAAAAACACTTACCCAATTTCCGAGCAGTCTGTGAATTGTGAGGTTCAGTCTGAGATACAGAGAAACAGAATGCTTGTTTACCACACGCACAGAGATCTTTCCAAAGGACGATAGCGTCGGGGCTTTTTCACTGCCCTCCTGACCTTTCTAAGGGGGTTGTGTCATGCTGTGTTTTATTTTTCGCCATCAGGGGCTTTAGAGAACATAAAATTCCTTTCCCCATGAACGCTCCCAAGAAAAATGGGCAGCCAACATGAGCTGCCAAAGATCTGCTAGGTGCAACAGCCACGAGCGTCTTGAATTACCGGAGTGCCAGTTAATCAAAGGCGGCTCAAACTGGAAATATCATGCTCATGGTAAATTTAGCATCTATTATATCCACTAGCAAAACCAGCAGCAGCTGAAAACACTGGAAAGGGAAACTTAAACACGAGAAACTGAGGAATCCCATGCAAGAAGCGTGTTCTCTATCAAAACAATAGGGCTGAAATATGGAAAGGGTAAAACTAAGAGCTCAAGGAGCATTGATTTATCAGTTGAGATCCATCCAGAAGTGGTGAAGGAAGAGGCTTTTCTTTTGGTTGATTTTTATAGGAGGCAATTAATTTGCTACGATTTCCACCAAAAAAAAACAAAAAAAAAAAACGAAAGAAAGAGAGTTGTTTTCCAGAACTTGAGATAACAAAGCAGCTGGAAATCAGTGTCAATTCAAAATTGAGAACTTAAATTTTTTTTAAAGGATTCCATTAACTGTTGTTAGTACTTCAAGCACATTGCCACCGCAGTGAACCAAAATGCAGCAGTTTTTTGCTTTTTTTCCCCCAGTTTTTTTTTTTTTGTTTGTTTGGTTGGTTGGTTTTTTTTTGCAAAACACAACAGTATTGCAATAGACAGTGGTTTCAATCTTTGAGGCCTTGTTAACCTCTATAAACTGGCTTCTACTTTGATGTAGCACGCCAGTTTTCCTCGTAGCACCTGCGTCTCCATATGAACCAGACAACTGATTGCATTCATTTTTCTGGTCGAACATTTCTCTTCCTTGTTTCTATATTTAACCTGACTTTCAACAGCATCATCATAGATTTTGTTTTTGTACTGAACATTTATAACTTTTTTTGGCATATCGTGTTCTCTTGGCACGCCCTAATGCTTCTAAATGGTGCTCCTATAAATCACTCCTTAGCCTTTTTCATCTGATGTGTTTTATGACTTGATCTGAAACAACACAGTTGCTCAAACTACCCAGAGGTGTTGTAATGGCACAAAGCAGAGAAAGAATCCAAAACCTGAGAAGAGGACAGAACTCTTTCGCTCTTCTTCTAGCTTTGCAAATAATAGAGCTGGATTCTGCAGCGGTGAGAAACCAGCAAAACCAGAATGCTCTGTAACAGAGAGCAAAGTGGGCCACGGTTCAGCTTTTACAGAAGGATAAAAGTAAAGGTGTTATATTCCAGATTCCTGAGCTTGCAAATACCTCTGTTGTCGGAGAGGTTTTACCAAAATATGGAATGAATTACATCAGATACTCACCTACCTTGTAAGATCCATCATACGCCTAAACTTATCTGAAATTTTAATTGGCAGTGGGCCTTGATTTTCCCCTTTCAAGTAAACTACTCTATTCTGCACTTTAGAAACGATCATAAAATTTGAAGTTCACATGCTATGAGCAGGAATCCAACAATAGCAAGGTCTCAGCTTAGTAAAATCTACTCTAATATCTTGACGCTCATATCAAACACTAAAGCATTGAAGCGCTGGATCTGCTCAGTAGTCCTTCTCATTTAACTACAGTTTCACAGGTTTATTCATATTTTCTCCTTTTTTTTTTTTTTCAACCCCGTTGGAAGAAAAGAATACACAACAACTCTCAAACATAACAATTTTATTTTCAACCAGATGCATGGACATAATCTTTTATTTATGTAAAGGCCCAATCGCTCCTGGCAATGCATTAAGTGGGAAGAAGGCAAGGGGGAGGACTGTCCATCACCCCAGCATGCCCCACCTGTAGGACCACACAGCTGCTCCCATGGCACACCCACACAAACCACAGATACTGATTTATTTCCCGTAAGAGCCAGAGCTTGGCATCAGTATGTATTACTGATAGAGCAGGTGGGGCAGATAGCTGTTTTAAAGGGGGGTGGGGGATTGTGGTCATCTTAATTGGTGTTGCTCCAAGGTTGGTGTTAGATATGCTCTCTAGGCTTTGTTGAGAACCAGCTCTCAGGAATCAGGTAGTATGCCTTATCTTTTTTCCTGCATTCCAATAGAAAATATCACCTATTTTTTTCTGGTTTCTGAGAAAACAATTTCCTTCTTACAAGTCTAATGGATAAAACTGAAATGCTATGAATTTGATTTTTCAGGTTTTATTTTTATGGGGATCTACTTTTCGGTACTGCTAACTTTAAGCAAGCTGTTTTGACATCCTAATACCTCATTTAGAAAGATATGCACATATATATTTTCTGTTTCAGAGAGGAACTAATTCATCTCTTTATCTTCACGGGAAGGAAAGGAACTAGACAGATATATTGCAGTCCCTATCATGTTCTCTGAGTCTTGCACACGTGCTGTTGGAGGAAAACTTTGGTTCAGAGAACACACTAGAAGTTAAAGAAGTATTCTGTGATAAAATTGGATGCTCTCTGTAAGGAGCAAACCCAAGGGTGCAGCAGGGATCATCCCAAGCTCTTGCTTTCCTTCTGTGCAGAGGAAAGAAAGAACTCCTAGTTCCACGCTTTCCTCTTTTCCATTTAAGGTGAACTTTGCAATCTTACTTCCTAATTCACCAAGAGTGCAAAGTGCTGTCTCTCAGAAAATAAAACTAGTGAAAACATCGACTTCCTTGGAAATACTGCTGATGAGCTCACCTTTTGTAGTGAACCCTGGAGCAACATCCTGTTCTCTTATTTTTTTTCATTTTTCCCTACTTGGCTACAAAATTTGGCTTGTATCAAATGGATACGTTGGAAGCTTACAGCAATATATGTAAGACTTTTTTATTTTTCCCTGCCTGTCTTAATTCTGCAATGTAAAAAGCCCTCTATGCTTAAATCCTGAGTAGCCTTGATATTGAGAAGGTGTGCATTAAGGTTGTAGCGTTTATTCTGCTGGCTGGCTCAAAAACACCCTAATCTACAGCAATACACCACCAGACAGCAGAATGCACCCTATACACCAACAACTTGTTCTCCTGAGGATAAATATCTTTGATGCTGTCCTCTCTTGAAGAGAAAAAAATAATTTGCCAGGAGGTGTTAAGCCAGGACTCTGCTTTTTACTCATTTGCTGAGAATGCAAGAAACCTTACTACTGAGGGAGGAATCGCTGATATAAACTGCAGAGCTATGCAAGTAGTTGAGTAATTATGGATTGAGGTTTCCAAATGCTAAGGACTCTGCAGAATATTTCTCATTCTTCACATCAGATATTTTGTAGGTGTTATTCTGGTAATGAGTGGAAAGGTGGGCAAAGATATGAAAAGAAATGTAGAGTCCTTTTTAGAAATAAAGTATATTTGTGCTCAAAGAATGGTAACCTTCCTATCTATGGAAGGTAAATGCATTTCACGTAAGCTTTCCTTTTTTACTGAATCCCATACCATACTATAGGGATAGAGAACTTTGAAATGTTGTAACAGATGTTTTTTTTCAGTGAGGAGTTGTGTTGGTGTTCAGCACCTGATCCTACATCTCATCTGAAGGTCTGGAGGCTCACTTGCTACCAGCCAAAGCACCCACAGCAGTAACTGAGGATACTGGGGGGAAAAAATTCTCCCCAAGAGCAGTCAGTCATTGGAACTGCCCAAGCAGGTGTGGGAGTCACCATCCCTGGAGGTGTTATGAAAAGGATAGGTGTCACATTGAGAGGTATGGTGTTGATGGTTGGACTAGATGATTGTTAGTGGTTTTCTCAATCTTAATGACTTAGTGATTCAGAAGTGTGGATGTCTGCCCTCTGTGCCATGCCAGGGTATTGTTCTATGACACTATTATATTATGAGCAATGGAGCCACGTTTCCCCCACCTCCATTGACTCCTCAGGTCTCAGTTTTCCATCTTTGCCAGCAACTGGTACTAGCATCATTTTCTTGCACTGGGAAATATCTGAGTTGACACCAGCGGTGTGATGCTTTGTCAATAAATTTGTCACTAGATGTGCGTGCCATGAGGCAAAACCCACCTCTGCTTTGTGAACTGAGTCAGCTTCCACCTCACTGCAGTTTCTCAAGCAGTGACAAGGTTTTCCTAGCAGGAGAAGCTCAGCAAATGAGGTCTGATTTTGGTGTTCTCTCAGCTTGTAATGGCAGTCAGGGGAGTGTGCCAGCATTTCTGTGTTTATAAGCCACCTGATGTAATGGTAATAAGATGCTAACATGAGAGTCTACCTCTGATCTGCCAGCTGCTGGCTGCTCCAGCCCTTCTTGGTTCAGGAGTTTTAACAAGATGTTTCTGGTCTGTAATCAATGTAAACTTCCCATGCAAAACCTTATGGAACATCCTGAATCCGGGATAAAACACTCCGCCTCACTTTGATTGTAATTTTGCCTTGCTCTAGCTAAGGCTCTGGAGCTATAAGCAGCTTCTAATCACTTTGTCATCTAACACTTTAGAAAAGGATGAAGCTGGTAGGTGGGATATTGAATGGAGACTAGCCAGTATGCTGGAATCATAATGCACTTCAGCCTTACCAACGTTGGCAGCATCTCAGACCATGTCTTACGGATGCGTAGCAGCTTTAAAAGTGTATTTTCTTTCTGTTTCACTGCACCATGAGCACACTAGCAATGTGATAAGTGCTGTATTTAATGCAATAGCCTAACCTGTCCTCTTTTTGCTTGCAGGATTTCAAAGATGAGGCAGAGGAAGGCATTCTGAAGAACAAAGATCACCATTTCAGTAGTGCTCTGGAAAGGAAATGGGGGGGGGTGTTGGGAATGCCAGGCTGATTTGCAACACAAATCTATGTTTTGCATCTGATTATTGTAGGCTTTGTTCTGAGGATGGGTTATCATAGCCAAAGGAGCTGGATGCCCATACTGGCCTCTCCTGGTACTCTGTGTTGGTAACAAATCCTATGAAACTTCCAAAAATGAGCAAGTTAATGTCATGCCCTGTGTTTCTGTTGTCTCGTTGCAGTGGACAAAGTAATTTCCCTTCAGGCAGATTCTGCTTTTGTTCCGTCTGTGATGGCTTGGAGCAGTAACTGCTTTCAAGGATGGGACAGAAATAGGGACATCCGAGGGTCTCCCACCACAATGCCGTCTCAGGATGCACCGTCACAACTCAAACCAACTGTTTTCTCCTGAATCTCGAGCAAAGCAACTTGCCTTTGCGACACTGTCCCCTCTCTTGACTTGAACACAGGCCTCCCAGCTGCAAATTCAATACCGAGCGCCTGCTTTCTATTGAAAGCTGCTTAATTGGCTGCTATTCTTGCTTCTCCAGCTGAATTTGCATTAAAGAAAGACCTGCGATCTTTGGCATTCCCCATGCGAAGCTCCGTATTTAGCGTATGGAGCTGGCAGTTCTCTTAACGCCCACATCTGTCTCTGCTTGCCACAGCTGATTTATGTTTAATATCTTGAAGGCATGTGGTGCCAGTCCCATGTTGAGCTCTGGATTGTGGTGGTCTGTCTGTATTTGTTGAAATTGGGCCCAAAGAAGCTGGCTTGGAGCAGAGACTGCGAGGAATGCGAGCCAGTGGCCGTCCAGACAGCTCTGTCAGCAAGCTCAGGAAACTGGCTGAAAAATACTGGGAAGAGGCCCAGGTTTTAAACAACCTGTGGAGCTCTCATGAGAACACTGTTTTAAAACAGAAAGTTGAGTGATACTCTTAATTACAGATTTTAAAAAATGAAGGTTAATGATGTCCTTGCCCTTGCAGAATGCGAGGCATGTTCCTCAAATTGTGGTCATCAAGCAAGCAGTTTTGTCTTCTTGCATGAAGAGCACGTTTTCATGTGCTGCTTTAATCCATTTTCTTCCCAGGCAGAGATAAAGATCAGGAGGCTCTTGGGGTCCCACAGCCACGGTTTGACCTGTAACTCTGTAGCAACGCTGGCCATATAAAGAAATCTTTGGCGTAAGGTTGATACTTGTGTGCCTCAGCAGACAATGGTGGGTTTTGCATGTTAAAGCTGTAATTCCACAAAATAAAAAGCTATCAGCACCAAGTTGGCTTCATCTCCAGAATTAATGAGCTCTGGGGTCTTATATCAGGGATGGAATACCTTGAACACTGATATGATTTGACAAGGCACGTGCTTTAGGGCTTAACATTGGAGGGATGGGGAGATGCAAGAGCCTGGGTTCTTTGCTAGATGATCCAATGGTCCCTTTTGGTCTTCAGTTTAATGAATTTAGGCAGTGATGGAGTCTGTCATATTGTGGTGTTAAGAGTATGGGAGAACGATCTACGAATTTTAATCATAAAGAGGCACCTTGTATCCTGTCTCTTAAAGCAGTGCTTAGGTGCTTTTTGTTGAGAAATTTGCATTGGGTTTTCTTTATTTATTGGCCCTGTGATTGGATCTGCGTGTCTGAAGCTTGGGAAATTGTGCAGATTTAATATTGGGCTGAAATTCATTTTATCTGAGTACAGAAGTCCTTCTATGTTGTGACAATGTTTCAATGCCTTTTGTAGTCAGGAAGTGACTATCCAGTATCTTGACTTGAATGGAGCTTACAGATAGCAGTTAAACCTGTGTTCCTGAAAGATTGCTCAGAGTTCACTCCATTCTTAGTTTTTATCTCAACTAAAAGGCACACAGAGAGCAAATTTTAAGGCACTGAAATGGGCTGCTTGCAGAGCAAGAATTTGGAAAAACCAAGAGTGAACTTAGGAGTAAACCATTTTATTTAATTTAAAGTATTTCATATGAATGGAAAGAGGTTTCCTCCACTTAAAAACTGATCTTCCTATTATTCCACACGTCAGTGCTCTACAAACTTCTTTGGATGTTAGTGAAGATGCTGGGAAGGAGAGAAAACAGAAAAACACATTAGAAATAAACTTTTGATAGTGACTCAGGGTTAAACAGGGTAAAGCTTTCCTCTCAATATTTGTTAGGGGCTGAAATTATGTGGCTCTTTAAAACTGACTATTGCTGTGTTTCACAAAGATTATCTGTTAAATACACGCTTCTTCTGGTCAGCAGCTTGGACGTGATGATTTATGCCAACTGGCTTAGGAACTGTGAACATTAATTTATGGCTCATTCCCAGTTCCCTGTTAATATGTCTGTTTGAAAAAGTAGGGCTGGGAGGGAAGGAGGAGACTTCAGAATTTAAGTGAAATGGAAAGCTAGAGTTACAGACTCCTTAACAGCTATATTTAGTACCTCCTGATCCCTGATGGCTGTTATACGGGCAAATATTAAACGCTGGGCTTAATGGAAAGCGATGGAAGAAAATCTGCACAATTTAATAAGCTCTGGACAGAGCCTCCAAATACCAGTCCAGAAATAAGGAACTGCAAAGAATTTCTGTGGTCCATTTCCTCCTTTTAATTACTTTACTCCACTATTTCTGCAGGAAGTTTGTTCCAGAGCCTCTAGCTGCCAATGGAAGTGATTTGATCTCAAAAGACCACTACGTTCAGAGGACTAGGTGCTCTCTGATCATTTCTGTTCATTCTCTACCCATGAATACCTTGCTGGTCAGCAAGTGCCATGTATGCCAATGGTTTGGGTTGTTATTTTTTCTACCAGGAATATTCTCCCTCCTCACCTCTATGTTTCCCTGGATGTAGTCTCAGAGAACAGCTGTCTTTGCTCCATCTTTTCTTTGCCTAGCTGAAGAGGATAAGATCCCTATTCCTTATTCTGTCATATGGCGTTCATTTAGATTCAGATCAATGACTTGAAGGTATGCTGAACCTTAGGACGAGCATCTCTTCTGCAGTGATGAAGACTCCAGGCTTAAACTTGTTTTTGTCTAATTTTGTCAGAACTTTGATATTATAGCTGTTGGAACAACACATGAAATTGATCTTTATTATTGGTCTTTTGGGAACTACCTGAAACCTCCCATCATCCAACTGTTTTAGATAGTGTGATCAGTTCCCATTTAGTGGATCTCTTACTGAGTTGCAATCAATTGGTGCCATCTCCTTGGATAACCAAGGACTTCCTCTGCTTAGAGAATGGAAAAAGTATCAGGGAAAGATGCCATGTTAGAGCTGCTTCAGGTAAACTCACATTTTTTCCTTTTCTGTAATCACAGGTTTTTCCTAAAGCTTGCCAGATTTTTGAGGACAGCCACAAGCATCTGTAATTACTCAGGTCATGCCAGTTGAATACATTTATTTCTATGCTGACTACTGGATCCTGCAAGCTTTTTCCACTCTTCAGGGTGATATTTTTCCCTCTGTACACTGATTTCAGCATATTGAGTCCCCTGAGTTTTCTTCCTGCCTCAGATGTGGTCATTTCCAGTCGTTCCTATGAGCCATGCAGCCTTTACCCCATATTCTATACGCTCTTCCTTACTGAAAGCACATGCAATATATTCATTTAATTTTGGGAGTTATACTTGGTTTCTTTTAATCTCAGTGCCATGCTTACTGCACAGCAAACCCACGTCTTTCCTTGCTCTCCTTTGTTCTTCTGGTTAAAGAACTTTGTTTATTTAAATATCCTTTGCAAGGTCTAACTCAGCTTGACTTTTGGCAATTCTCATTTTACCCCTATGCTTGCTGACCTCTGAAATACAGCTTCCTTTGCCGATATTTTTTTTCTCACTCTCTATTCTTTTCCCTAACAAACACTCTGAAGTGATCCAGTCTGCTCAGGACCTTTCAAGTTTTTCTTCTACTATTTGCAATGCAAATTCCACATCAGTTTCCCGCTTCTGATGCACAGAATTTCCAAATGTTCTGCAAATACGAGTCAGCAGAATCTCTGTTGGAGCTGATTGCCCTAATCAGAGCCTTTTTATATTCAAAGATCGTGCTTGGAAATAAAAGTGTGCGAGCAGATCCAATAACTACAGACTTTGTGATTTATTCCACCTCTATCTCAGGGTGGCTGAAGTTTTATTTGAAGTCTCTTCTGCCAGAAAATTCTCTCTAAGTGCCAAAAAAGGTGGGAATGTATTTCACTGTTGCTGTTATCTGGTGAAGGTATCTGTTGGCAATGATATCTAGAGCCTCCATGTCTTGCCCTCACCAGTAGTTCGTCCTTATGTATCTGGCAGTTGTAGGTTCAAATGTTGAAATAATTCCTCGTGGCAATATGTTTTCTAACATCTCAGACAATTTCATATGGTATTATATTTCTAATAATGCTTTGGATCTTTGTTCAAATCCTGAAATGTGAATGTTTTTTTTCTGACAGTTGGAAGATAGCTCAGTGATTTGAGCTTGGCACACGATAGATAACATGGCAGACCTTACTCAGCAGAACAAGGTATTATAAAATGAATAAAATAAAGATATCCCCGGCTTGAGAGATTAAAAATTCTAACAGTACCAGCATTGAACCTGGGAAGATTCTTCATATGATACAGTTGTTTACATGCACAAGTAATTTGTGCTTGAGTTGCCTGAAAATATTCCTCCAAATTGTTACTTAACCAAAATTAAGCCTTTAATTCAGTGAGTTTCTCCAAGATCTGTCTGCTTTGGTTGCCTTTATTTTTAATTAAAACCTTGTTAACTTTCAGCATTTATTTCCAATGAAAACTGAGAGATGTGGGTTTTCTTAGTAATTTTTCAATTTTTGTGTTTACAGTAGTATTTTGATTTTGTGGCAGAAACTTGTGAATGCATGAGTAATTTTCAGGAAAACAAACTTTTTCCTTTACTTTTTTTTTTTTTTTTTTAACAAACATGTCCTTAGGATAACAATGTGCCAGTGCCCAAGTTCTCTACTGAAAAGAGCTTCATTTTCCCTTCCTGAAGCTAGCTCAGTGTTTCATAAGCCTTTGAGGAACACACAGCCCCTGTCCTACAGAAATACCAAACTGCAAATGAAGCTGAACAGCTATCTTCCATTGAGATGCATGGGAGCAAGTTGCACAACCATAACTTACTCTTGGGTTACTATTTGTTTTACGCTTGCAAAATCTGAGTGAATATCCAAGTGAACATATTTATTCAGCATCTCTGCCACAGCATCATGGGGTCCAAAAGAATGCATTCGGGAAGGGATTGGATGAATTAATGGTGGGTAAGTTCCCTGGTGGGAACTGAACATGGGAGTTTGGATGCAATGTTTGGCTTGGTTTGTTCCTAAACTGTTGGGAGCTGGAAGGACAAACCAGAGAGATGATCATTTTGTTCTTGGCCTTGTTTTTAATCCTTTTTTTTTTTTTTTTCCTTAATGAGTAATTCTGTGCTGCTAATAGAGCCAGGATATTGGGATAAGGCCACGTTTTTTTTTTTTTTTAATTCATATTTAAATAGATATTATTCAGATTTAAATAGTCACTTGATAGTCTGAGAGTTTTTGAGACACCCCTTGTCCAGGCTGTATCCTTGTGTGATAATCACCCTTAGCACCTACTGCCCAGCTGCCTGAACTGTAACAAGATCAAATATCTGCAGAATACGTTTCTATGATGTAGATATCTCTGTTTATCTTATGTTGAAACTAAAGGAAATCTTCCCATAGGTGTGCCACTAATTATTATACTGGGTTCCTTTCAAAGACAAAAAGTTTCATTTGAAGCTCAGAGGCACCATGTTTCTGGTATGTGAATTTTTATTTTCTTAAATCCCGAGTATGTCTTGTCTTCTATTATTATTCCAAACGATCCATGTTTAATTTGTAACTAAGTGGAACAGTATCCTGCTGCATCTTCTGAGTTATCTGTGTTTTCTCCTGTCTTCTGAAGCTCTCTAGTCTTCAGATAAAGAAACGTTTGATTTCTTCAGTCAAAAATAATTTTATCAGGAAAAAAATTCACCACAGCACACTAAAAATCTTAATAATCCAATCTGACTTTCGAGTATCTCTTGCTGTATCTTCATTAGAATTAATTAGCACTCATCATTACTCAAGTATGGATCTGTTTAGACAGTAGCCCTTCTTGATTTTGATATTATCCAGATTTTGATATTATCCAAACACTCTTGGGAGATATTGATACAGGAATCAATTCTACAGCTGTTATGTATCACATCTCTGCTCTCTTGCTGTTCTTCATTAATGTCTGCCTTGGGATGGATTTG